AAGCACACCCGAGGAAGGAGGAGAGAGCTCTTAGGACCAGATGGGACTGCTCAGCGGAGGCGCAAGTGAAACACCACCCCGTCCCTCCCTCTCCCTGTGCTCAGAGTTCTTATCTGTAAATTGAGGCAATTGGCTTAGTCTTTCCTAAACTAGATTGTCCAGATTTACAATCCTGTAACTATTTACCTTCATGAAGTTCTGTCTTTACTTCAATAATTAACACTGGCTAAGTGGTATTTCTTTGTACCTAAACTCTCTCTGCAGAGCAGAACCAGGACCAAGCCTATTCTGGTCACTTCGCATGAAGAGACCCTACAGGTGCACCGGTACATGGCAAATTAAAGCCAATTTCGGACTTCATCTAAGAAAGATGCTACTGTCCCCAAATAAGCAATGCCTCTTGAAAGGTGACTCTTTCTCCAGCTTGATGCATTTTTTTTCTACCTTCTGGTTGATCTCTTTATTATGTTTTTGCCTTCTCAAACTTCTCTACTTGGAGAAAAATTATTTACAGCAAAAAAAGAGAAAAAGAGAGATCCCACCCACCCACAAAGTGAGCCTCACTTTCCCACTTGTGAGGCAGCGTCATTAATACTGGCTTCATGACAAGATAATTAGGAGCTCCCCAGCCCCTCCCCCCCTTAACCCACTAGTTTCCTTCCGTTGCATCTGCGGGCATGCTTGCTTTGTAAAGGGGCTTTTTTCCCCACCCCAAAGGGCTTCTACCTACAGTACTATTCTCCCATCAAAAGGCCCCTGGTTTGAATGCTGAATTTGTTTACATACGAGCTTAAGAAAATAAGCAGCTGTGTGTTTGAAATATGATATTTTCCCGTCCCCATCTCAGGTTTCAAAACCACATAGTGTTGTTGAGGGTTAATCTTAACATCGTCAGTGTACACAGAAAGCCTGTCAGTGGTCCCGAAGACAAAGTCCAGGGCTGGGAGCCAGCAGAGTTGGGTTTACACCTGTGTTTCTGTCCTTGGTTTGCTACAGCTCACAGCGGCAGCCTTCAGCCCCTTAACTTAAAATGGCATCTTGTCTTGTTCTAACCTCTGTGCTTTTCACTTGGCTCAAAGCAGTTGCATCTAAACCCAAACCCGGCTGACCACCACATCAATTTAAATTTGAAGGAGTGGAATATACTGGCATTGGATTCCTTTTGTGAAAAAGAACCACAGCAATGACCTACTTAGAGTCAGCCCAACTGCTGGTGACTATTCATGAGGACCCCTCCCTCAGCAGCCCACAGAATCTAGACAGGTGACATGCCAGGCCACCTTTGCCAAGTTGAGCCAGAGCTGTCTCCCTGAGGATAAATGTGACCTGGTAGCACAGAGCTGGAGGGCCCCACAAAACCAGGATCGTGGCCCACTTTGTCTTTTGTTCCTTGTGAAAGCCCAGCATATACAGAGGAGAAGGGTCCAGTAACACAGAACAGCTTAGACAGACGGCCGGTCCGTCCTTCTGTGCTCCACGCCCTCTCCCGTCAGCACTGCAGCCTGTGAGGCTTCCTCAGACTCTCCGAAGCAAGAAGACGGGAATGAGCACGTTCCTTCTCTGGGCTCTGCCCTTCCGGAATACATAACCTTGTCAAGAACAGAAAACCACAGCTTTCATGTACAAGTAGCAAGACCCATCAGCTTCACAACAACTGCATTATAAGTTCATTTTCTTGAACCATGAGCCCCTTTGGGTGGAGCCCCCTTGGCAGATGGAAAGCCTCTTCTCCTTAAGTCACTCTGGAATCAGGGAACATCTTGTTCCATCGCCTTTGAATTAAGAATTTTTGTCTTACTCTAAGGCAGACTAGGTCCTTTTAAGTGTAGCACTTCCTTTTAACTCCCCTTGAAAAAGACTGGCTCTTTGTAAGAATCCGTGGACAGCTGCCCAAGGCTACCCAGGCTGCTGGAGCGGGGCTGTGTCAGAGCGAGGAGTGGGAGGCTCTCTCTGCATCTCTCTCGGTTCCTGTCCTTTACCCGGGATGTGTCTCTGCATGAGTCACTCTGTTTCATTCTGCATTTCCCTGGGTCTCTCTCTGCGTCTCTGCGTCTCTCATCTTCTCCCTGCATCTGTCTGGCTCTGTGTGTCTCCTTGTGAGTAGTGTAGGTGTCTCAATGTGGGTGACTCTGTCTCTCTCTCTCTCTGGTCTTCTCCCTCTAGGTCTAGAGCGACATTGAAACACAGGATTGGGAGACACGTCGGCACACATCCACGTGTCTGGGTGGCTTCTTCCAGCCCCAGTCACCATGTCTCTCTGAGTATGTGTTTCTGAACTTACGCTTCCCTTCGTGATTGCCTTCCTGAGCTTTGTTTTTCTATGTGTCTTTGTCTCTCATTCGAATGTAAGTAAACGTCTACATTATCCCTAAAGTTTCGCAGACATTGTTTACAATAATCTTTGAACTTTTCAGACTATGGCAAAGAAGGAGGTCAAAATGGGAATTTGGGGGATGCTGCTGACGTACACACAGCATTAGGATGTTCTGGGGTAGGGAACCAGAGAGGAGAGGGGCGAGAGGGAGGAGCAAAGTAGAAAGTGAACACTTCTGCGCTCTCCTCTCTTAAAGACACCCAGGCTAAGTCCGGGCATGGTGGCTCACACCCATAATCCTAGTACTCTGGGAAGCTGACGCAAGTGGATTGCTTGAACTCAGAAGTTCAAGACCAGCCTGAGCAAGAATGAGACACCATTTCCACCACAAACAGAAATAACTAGGCAAGAACAAAAAATCACAGCTTTCATGGACAAGTAGCAAGACCCATAGGCTTCACAACAAATGCATTATAAATTTATTTTCTTGAACCATAAGCCCCTTTGAGTGGAGCCCCCCTGGCAGATGGAAAGCCTTTTCTCCTTAAGTCACTCTGGACTACAGGTGCCTATAGTTCCAGCTATGCAGGAGGCTGAGGCAAGGTCTCTTGAGCCCAAGAGTTTGAGGCTTCCATGAGCTGAGCTGACACCATGACACTCTACCCAGGGCCACAGAGTGTCCGAAAAAAATGAACGAAAAAAATGACACCCAAACTAACTTGCAAACATTCTCAGATATGCCGGATTGCTCTTCAAAGACAAAAATAATTTCAGTAGCCTAAAACTTAGATGTGGGAATTCGTTTTTAACCATAGCTAAGTAAAAATAGATTATACAGGAGAATCCTTTCCATCAAGAAAAAAAAATAATTTCTAATAATTAATCAAATTGCAATTTTTAAAAATATTACATATGACACATACATGGAGAACCCTTGCTTCACACTCACCTTCCAAGTCAGGGATGTATCCTGGTATGTTAGCTTGGCCCTTTGGTGGGATGACAAGAGTATTCAGAAGAAAGGTTCTGTAGAAGACACGGTATAATCACAGTTATCATTACTAGTCTGTTGTCGATTATCACAAGTATTCAAAGCACAGCAATTTATCTTATCCCCTCACTTTATCTATCTCCTCTCCTTCTTTGTATTGGAACTGCGGGAAACATCAGCCATTTTGGCCTGGCCTGGCTCTCTCCTGAAAGCTCCACTGGTTTGGGAGGGAGGAGGCAACAGAGAAGGCTCTGAGTGTCCTGGACACAGAGAGAAACACCACAGTGGAGAGAGAGGACTACCTGGACAGCTCCTTCTCAGCTGAGACCACCAACTAAAATTGTCTGCCTGCTCTGCACCTGCTTGCAGAAGATACTCTGTGTTTTAGGTGTATGTTCCCTCCGATAGGTGACACACTAACTCACTAGCAGAATTATTAGAATCATCGCCACGTAAGCATAGGCTAGTTCATCCAGTCAGATGTAAGACGGATTACCCGGACGCTGAGGAGCTGGAACTGACACTACCCAAACGGGCACCTCTGAGTAGGGTGGGCGTTAACTCCAGACCTCCAGAGCCAGCAGGGGCTCCTAAGGGCAGAGGAGGAGCACACAGATGACATGCCCACTTCTGTCCTCTGACTAGGTCTGTAAAACCAGTGACAGGCAGTGGCTAAAGCTCGTGCAGAATGAAGGAATGATTGCAAGAAATTAGATTAAATGTACCTAAAATTCATAGGCCAGTGGTTCCTAGCCCCGGCAGCACATTAAATCACTGGGGAGCTTGAAAAAAAAGAAAAAAGAAAAAGCTGAAAGCCCCCAAGAGTTTCTCTTTAATTTTTCTTGAGTGGAGCCTAGACAGATGGTGATTTTCTTTGAAGTTCCCTATTTGGTGCTAAGGTATAGACAGCATTAAAAATCACTGACTCAGATAATCAACAAGTGGTAATAAAGTGCTGCGTATCATTTGGATTTATCATTCACATAAAACTACGCAGAGAAGTGGGCACAAGGACTATTTCTTTACAGCCCTGAGGAGCAGAATTTCTCTGGCCTGAGTGGATCCATATTCAAAACACGTAAGGAAAGGAACGAGGCTAAATGGGGAAGGATGGAGAGAGTCAGCCGTCTGTCCTGAGAGCCCAGGGCAGACCAGAGTGGGGCAGAGGAGCAGTACCGGCATCAGGGGTGCTGGTTAGAGGCACATATTTACAATGCTAGGATGCTGCAGGGAAGCGTGAATGGTTCTCAGCCTTGACTGTACATTAGAATCACCTGGGAGCTTAGAAAACTCCCCAAACCTAAGCCACACTTAAGACCAATCAAATTAGAATCTACAGGGTATCACCCAGGCAACCCCCCCCTTTTTTTTTGCAGTTGTTTTTTTTCTTTTGGCCAGGGCTGGGTTTGAACCCACCACCTCCGGTATATGGGGCTGACAAACTACTCCTTGAGCCACAGGCGCCGCCCCCCCAAGGCAACCCCGTTTTTTGAAACTTCCCAGCTGGTTCTGTTGTGCAGCCAAGGTTAAGAACCACTGCTTTAGATAATCTTTTCTCTGTAAAACTTGGCTGTTCATTTTGTTCTGTTTTTTAAAACTGGAAGGAATATAGAGAACTCTGCACCTTCCCAGGTATGGAGAGTAAGGACTAAGAACGAGATCAACATTTAGGTCAAAGTTAGACAACAGAGTGGCCTAGCCCCCAAACCCTCCGTCCACGCGGACGTTCTGCAGCAGCTGTCCAGACAGGTGATACTGCCCCGTGGAGGTGGGGTGGGGCGCTCCAGACCCCCTCTGCTCTTCCTGCTCCCTGCCTTCTGTGGACAACCCTGAATCCAACTTTTGCTACCATGTAAAAATTTTTTAAAGGATTGGCAGTTTTTCCCTCACTCAGAACAGCTGATGAGTCTCTCATTCTTTGCTTAAGAGTAAATGGTTTCTAATTTATAGAAATAAAAGATGCTTTAAAGGGCCTTCATAGTCCAGCCTGCTAGCCAATGACTGAAGCTTTCCCCAACACCCCTGAAGAGGCTTCTGGCCTATTTAAACAAGTCCAATGACCTGATTTTCAAGAGGGCAGTTGACTCCTCTTGAAAATTGCACTATTCATAAGATCCTTGTGTAGGATCAGAATTTGTTTCCCAGGAATGTTCACCCTTTGGTGTGGGCCAGCTGATTGGATTCGTAGAGAATAAGCGACTGTCACGGGAACATAAGACTTCTTGTCTTCTCCCATTTCTCTGAGTCCTCACCTGCTTCCCTACTGTGGTTTCATGTTCACCCTCCAGCACCTGCCTCCCTGTCCCTCTCCTCCAAACTCACTTAAATCAGCTTTGTCATCTTGTCAAACTTTAATAATGCAAAAATGAATAGGAAAGCTTTACCTCGGATATTCTGGAGATCCACTTTGCAGAGATTACTCGTTCCTTCAAGGCTTCTCTTATCTGAATATTTAACAAAAGGAATTAAGTATTAAAAGATCATAAGGAGTTAACTAACACAGGTGATTGGGCCCAGCAAGTATTGTGGCAAGCGAGTGTGTTAGCAGCCTGGGCCCGCAGCGGGATATTTAGGGAGCAGGGAGCTGATGGGGTGAACAGCGGGGAGATGGGGAGAAATGAGAAAGGTGGAGCTGACGTAAGAGACTCATTCCCGGGGCCTTGAACACAGACCCCATGGCTATGAAGCGCGGTCACTGCAACTTTGAGGCTTTCTTGACATAGTTTGGGTGTTATTTTCTTGGAGCACCTAACAATCGCTTCCAATAGTTTGTTAATTTTTCAAGTCTCCTTTTCTATAGGAAAAAAAAACCCTACACAATATAGAAACAGTCCATGGGATCAATGAAATAAGAATAAGAATTCTGTTTTGTCTTATAACCTTATGTATAATACCTGTCATCTCATTTTACCCAGCAAATAACCTTGTAAAGGTAAAGATACAAAACCCTGTGAGAATACTGTCACCCTCATTTTACAACTGAGGAAATTAAGCTTCCAAGATTGTGACATTCAAAATGTGTCAGTTCCTGAGAGTAAGAACCAGGACTTGTATTCTTGTCCCCTGACGTCAGATCACCCCGTCCTCTTCCCTTACTCTCTCTCCTAACTTCAGGCATGCTTCTTATTTCCTCTTCCTTTTCCTTCTAAAAAACTGTTTTTCACCTTCTAAGGCCTTGTACAAGTTCTGTCTTCCAAAGCCCTCCTGCTCAGAGAGGCTTCATGCATCCCTGAAAAGGCAGGGTTCTTTGTCACTCACAGACTCCCAAGAAGGAAGAGCACGCCCCAGTACTGGAGGGCGGGGATACACGCAAGGGGCCACTTCACAAACTGGGGGTTGTGGAGGTATATTGACGCTTCTACTCAGATTTCTTTGTTCTCATCTTTTCCTACTCATCTGTTTCATAATGCACCTCATACGCCTTATAAATTAATAATGAAGGCATCTAAGGATATCCGCTCACTGTTCATGATCCTAAAATTGGAGGACCAGTAGCATGCACAATTTTTGGTCCATTACTTATGTACGGTTTGTGACACTTTGGAGTATTTGCCTTTTGTGTTATAATTTTGCACGTAAGAAGTTCCTGTCTTGGTAGAAGCTGCCATGGTGTCCAGTCCTTTGCACCTCTCACGGCACCTGGCTAGTATGCTCGGTAATAATGTTGCTGTGCACACTTGGGCTACAAATTCTAGTTGTAGCATTAAAAATATTTTAAAACATCTCACGGTGTATGACAGTGCAATCCCTTACATGCTGTCCATGTGATTTCACTTGCAAGATTGCATTTGTTCTTTACCAGAATCTAGTGGAGAAGGCAGAGGACGTAGCAGAATTTCGGCTCTCCGTTTGAGAAATTAGAGAGTCCTAAGTGTGAAGGCACACAGATATACCCAGAAATATCAAGACTAGTACTCTTTCAGGCCAGCTGCAGTGGCTCATGCCTGTAATCTTAGCCCTCTGGGAGGCCGCGGTAGGTGGATTGCTTGACCTCAGTAGTTGGAGATCAGCCTGAGCAAGGGTGAGACCCCCATCTCTACTAAAAGAAGAGAAACTAGCCGGCTGTTGTGGTGGGCACTTACAGTCCTAGCTACTCAGGAGGTTGAGGCAGAAGGATCACTTAAGCCCAAAAGTTTGAAGTTGCCGTGAGCTATGACGCCATGGCAGTCTACCGAGAGTGACAAAGTGAGACTCTGTCTCAAAAAAAAAAGACTAATAGTCTTTATCTCTGAATAATTTTAAATGGGTTCATATGGGATCCTCATAAGATAATGAAAGGACCATTGTGAAATTCATCTTTTACAAACTTTTTGTAACTTAGTAAAATAGCATAGTTTAAAAATAACAAACAAACAAAACCCCCTGTGTGAGAGTGCTCTTGTGTTGGGAGATCCAACCTGCTGTTGTCCCTTTTCACTTTCTTAAATGTATTTACTTTAATCAGCAGAGAGATTTGCACGTACACCTGAGAGGACTGTTTTTTTGCTGATCCAGGAGGCAGTGAGGCACAAAGGAAAAGGGGTGATCTTAGAAGTCGGAGGAAACCTTATTGTTTTGCTCATTTTTTTGTTTTTATTTGTTATCACCTTCCATCACCTAGCAACACTCATCTTTATCTGAAGAACTTCCTTCCCTGAGTCCACTGCTCTTGCAACCAACCCTGTAGTTAAAATGCAGCCGTGAGACCTGAGCCCGGCCAGCTAGACATGACGATGCCAAACAGCAGGTGCCAGGCGGCCAGAAAGGCAAACAGAGGGGACCGCCAGACAGCAGGAGGAGGGGATCCCAGGAACAGGAGCAAGGGGTCCCCCAAACAGCAGTGGCAGAGGGATCCCCCAGACAGCAGGGGGTCCCCCAGACAGTAGTGGCAGAGGGTTCACCAGACAGCAGGGGGCCCCCCAGACAGTAGTGGCAGAGGGCCCCCCAGACAGCAGGAGTAGGGGGATCCTAGGAACAGGAGCAGGGGGTCCCCCAGACAGCAGTGGCAGAGGGTCCACCAGACAGCAGGGGGTCCCCCAGACAGTAGTGGCAGAGGGCCCCCAGACAGTAGGAGGAGGGGATCCTAGGAACAGGAGCAGGGGGTCCCCCAGACAGTAGTGGCAGAGGGTCCACCAGACAGCAGGGGGCCCCCCAGACAGCAGTGGCAGAGGGTCCACCGGACAGCAGGGTGTCCCCCAGACAGCAGGAGGAGGGGATACCAGGAACAGGAGCAGGGGGTCCCCCAGACAGCAGTGGCAGAGGGCCCCCCAGACAGCAGGAGTAGGGGGTCCCCCAGACAGCAGTGGCAGAGGGTCCACCAGACAGCAGGGGGTCCCCCAGACAGTAGTGGCAGAGGGTCCCATGGACAGCAAGACCAGGGGATCACCCTGACAGCAGGAGCAGCACCACTCTAGCCCAATGCTCACTCCCTGCCATCTGCCTTGGGAGCAGCGCCCCAGCAGAGGTGGAAAGGGCAGGATTGCCGGTGGAAAAATTCTGCGCTGTCCATTGGAAACTGTTCCCCGAGGGAAGCCTCTGGACTCCACACCAAAGAGAGACCCTCCCAAAGATAATACTGTAAAATATAGTGAATTCCTTTTCTGCTTCAACTCACTAGAGTGAATTTCCATGGTGACCTCGAGCAAGCTACTCATTACTCTAAGACTCAGTTTCCTCATCTGTAAAACTGAAAACAGTGTGGCCCAAGATTGTTTAAGGATTAGAGCTAATACACACAAAACTATCAGCCCCATAAAAGGTGAAAGGCGGTAGACAGCATTCTCATTGTGAACCGCATTGAGGACGCCCTATTCACATCTGCAGAACTGCTGAGATGAAAGGCTCTCAGCTCCCCGTAAACAAGAAGAAAAATCCCCAAGCAGTACCTTTGGATCCAGGATTGTTCCAAAAACCAGGATGAAGAAGCCCTGTGAAAAACAGAGAAGGAGGAAGGGCCACTTACAAACTAATTGGGGGAATAGTACATCTCATCATTCATTATCAGTTCCTATTTTCATGAAAATAAAAATGATTTTATTAAATATTTTAATTTCCCATTTTTAGGAAAAAGCACCTAAGCCCATTCATTCAGCAACTATCAATTGTCCTCATGTACCAGCCACTGTCCCAGACATTTAAGATACCTCAGGAAAACAAAGTCCCTGTTTCATATAGGAATATTTTAGAAATTTATTTTAAGGTTGGGGATCCTGGCACTCTGGGAGGCCCAGGCTGGTGGATTGCTTGAGCCCAGGAGTTCCAGACAAGCCTGAGCAACAGTGAGACTCTGTCTCTACTAAAATTAGAAAAATTAGCCAGGTGTTGTGGCCGGCACCTGTAAGTCTCAGCTACTGGGGAGACTGAAGCAAGAGGATCGCTTGAGTCCAAGCATTCGAGGTTCCTGTGAACTATGAGGCCACAGAACTCTGCCTAGGCTGACAGAATGAGAATCGGAAGGAAGGAAGGACAGAAGGAAGGAAGGAAGGAAGGAGGGAGGGAGGGAGGGAAGGAGGGAGGGAGGGAAGGAAAGAGAGAAAGAGACAAAGAGAAAGGAAGAAATTTGGGCAAAGCAAAACTGTTTTGCATTTCGCAGGAGCCGTACCTCCCTTCAGAATATAAGGATCCAGGGGCCAGAGGAGGGGTTAGGCAATATACAGCACCCTTGGGGTCCCAGAGTAGTAAGGAAAGAAATCTCACAGAAAAAAAGCAGAAACAGCGAAACAGGTGTCACAGCTTCCCATGACACCTTCAACCTCTTCCTCCCATCCACAATAAGAATATTATAAAATTTTCAAAGAAAAATCAAATATACACATCCTTAGAAAACTTAATCAGGCATCAAAGAGATTGAGCTTCCAAGCATGTAACAGGTGCCCTCAAAATGCTGCTATAGAAGGAATTAATTCGATTTTGTATCTTTTATTACCCATACAAAGAAAGAGCCCATAAAATCAAAACCAGGCTGATCCTCTATCGTTTTAGTCCATTTGGGATTTTTATTTTTTCCCTCCACATACATTGACACAAAACCACCCTGGAGGAAGGAGGGGCAGATAGCAGTTCTGTCTTTCAGATAAGAAAAAGGAAGCACAGAGATTCAACTTCCAAAAAGCGAAAGACAGCAACATTCATCAGACAAAATGTCTCTTGAATGTGCAATTACTTGGGTCATGGCTCACCTAAAAAGGGAAGGGAGATAGTGGCATTTAATCTAGGCATCCCCCTCGTTAAGCTGCTGTGATATTATAAGTGAATATGACTCTCACCCGGCCAGAGGCCTGATAAGGCACACGGGCACCATAAGATGTTACAACCTGGCATTCATCAGTGACAATACTACACTACTGCCACCACTATTGGTTAAAAGCTCAGATGAGAGTGGAGGACTTGGCTCCGCGCCTGTGGCTCAAATAGCTAAAGTGCCAGCCACATACACCTGAGCTGGAGGGTTCAAATCCAGCCTGGACTGCCAAACAACAATGATGGCTGCAACCAAAAAATAGCCAGGCATTGTGGTGGGCACCTGTAGTCCCAGCTACTTGGGAGGTAGAGGCAGGA